TCCTGATATTATCCTTATTTCCCCACTCTAGTTCTTTATTATATTGGGTTAATATATCGGACCACAAAGGTAGGGATAGACCTAGAAGTTCATATACATGCCCGTCGAATTCAATAATTTTTGTTTAAATAATTTTTTCAAATTAAAAAAGTTAATAAACATTACTGAACTTATTCACAAATAATTAAAATTATCACTCTAAAATTCATCCGAACTTATAGAAATTAAAATTCTAACTCTGCCTTCCGGCCTACACTAATTGGAGGTTCAATTTAATTAATTGTTACTACAATACAGCAAATTCATAGGTAATATTCAAATCATTCTATCAATTATCTTTTAAAAGTTAGTTGGCCAAAAAAAAATTTCACTATTTTTTTTTTATAATTGTAATGTTTGAATCAACTTTTATATGTCTTAATTTATTTTATAAGATATCTATCACTTTTCACCAATAACATATATCGGATAGTTAACTTTGTCGAGCGAACAAAAAATTTATTAACCATGAAGTTGTATTTGGGATATGGAAAACACCCAAAAACTTGTTTTCACTTCACTTTTTTTCATTTTAAATTTATTTTATTTTCAAAAAGCTCATAATTTTTTTATTACCAAGAGGATATTCCAAGCTTGGAGATCAAGTTTTTCTACAAGGTTGGAGTACCAAGATTGGACCATTTCAAGTTCAACAACCTTAGAGAAAAGTTGTCTTCTAATTCTTTGGAAAAAACAATGATATATAGTTAGGTAATTTATATATATATATATATATATATATATATATATATATATATATATATATATATATATATATATAAAAGAATGTGCGTATAATTAATTAGTGGCATTATATCATGGATGGATGTCATTCACTTTTTATTTTACTGCCCTAACATTACTTAATCATTATTGCAACAAAAAGACATATATGTAAGTATCACTAAAGATAATATACTATATTTTGAAACTTAAAAAAAATCACTTTCATTATGTCTAGATATCATAGAAAGTCATTACCAAACAATAGAAAAGACATTTTATCTGATAATTAGATAAAGAGCTGAAATTTTCGTTACAATACAAATATTCTTTAGCGAGTTCATGTGATATTAAGAGAAGGAGTTCGGAGTTTAAAGGCCAAAAAAAGTTGATAAAAATTTCAAAAGGGTATATCAAAAAAATTTCTAACAAAAATGGTAAAATCGCTATTGATGTGGCAATTTTTTGACGGCGTTAAAGTAAAATCACTGCTCGAGCAGCGATATTGCACAATTTTTATTTTTATTTTGAAATCGCTGCCTTGACAGTGATTTTCGTTATTTTTTTTTGAGTCTCTTTTTTTTAACAAATCGCTGCCAAGGCAGCGATTTTAGTGAAATTTTAATTTTTTATCTGTGTATTTTAAATCGCTACACTTGCAGCGATTTTAGTGTAATTTATTTTTTTTAATTCTGAATTGAAAATCGATTTTCGTTATTTATATTTTTTTAAGTAAATCGCTGCAAAGCAACGATTTTAGTTTTTTTTTAAAAATAAATTATGTTGTATAATCGCTGCAAATGCAGCGACTATAGTTTTTTTTTCTTCAAATTTTTTTATTTTTATTTTTTAAAATTGAAACTTTTTTTAATTTATTTTATAAATATTTCAGCCAATCATATTATGATATGAAAAAATAATTGGCCGAAATATTTATAAATTAAAATAATAATAAAAAAAAAGTTTCAATTTTTAAAAATTCACTAAAATTTGTTTTTAAAAAAAAAACTAAAAATCGCTGTAATACAACACAATTTGAAAAAAAATACAAAAAAAAATTAACTGCAGCGATTTTACAATTCATAATTAAAAAAAAAACAAATTTTACGAAAATCGCTGCAAAAGCAGCGATTTAAAATACGCAATTAAAAAATAAGGCAGCGATTTGTTAAAGAAAACTTTTAAAAAAACAACAACAAAATTCTCTGCCGAGGCAGCTATTTCAAAATAAAAATAAAAATGATATAATATCGCTGTTCGAGTAACGATTTTGCTTAACACCATCAAAATAAATCGCTACATCAATAGTAATTTTATCGTTTTAATTAAAAAGTGTTTTGATATACTCTTTTAGAATTTTTTTATTAATTTTTTTGCCTTTGGGCTCCGAATCTTAAGATAAGTTAGAGTGATTTTTTTTTGTTATTGAAATTTCTTTATTGATTTTTGTGATACTTATTCCAAATTGAGTGATATTTCTATTAGGGAAACATGGTTTAAGGACTTTCATGTCGTAATATAAAAGTTGAATCATAATTATTAAATTAATCAAATTTAATGTTGTAAAAGCGTATGTTAGTTCACTTTAAATTCCTTCTTTTAGAGTATAGGATATCCTGGGTTAGCGATAAGAGTCCTGTGGCCCGTGTGATAGCGAGTGAATTAAAAATTTTGTGCTTATAAGAAAGCGTGCAAATGAGTGAACGCATTATCAATCAAGCTAGTCACTTTAAATTTAGGGGTATTCAATTCCGAGCTTTTGGGCCTTGAAAATCGACTTTAAATTTATTCCTTTGATAGTGAATAGCAAAGAATAGGATTTCAAGTTTATAAATTTTACTTTCACGTCCCAACTCCCCCAAATTACATCCTATCGATTGATATGTTAATATGATTTGATTTTTAAGTACCTTTGAGTTTTGTTTTATATACTCTATAATATAAATATTAAAAGCTTTTCTTAGTCGGAAAAAGAGACTAATTTGGACTGTGTTTGGTATGAAGGAAAATATTTTCTGGAAAATGTTTTCCAATTTTCTCAAGTTTTGGAAAATGTCGTCCAAATCAACTCATTTTCCTCAAAATTAAGAAAAATGACTTCCCTTCAAAAATTAAGGAAAACATTTTTCAAAGCTCTCCTCCAATTTCAAATTACATTTTTTTTTTGGGAAAACATGAATTTAATAAAAAAAAATTCAATATCAAAATTTTATTTTTTCACCCGATCTATGGATCACCCTCCCCCAACACCACCCACTCCCCAAAAAATTAATTTTGCTTTTTAAAAATATTTTCAACTTCAAAGTTTTATTTTTAAGCTCCTACCTCCCTCCCCCTCTCCCGGCTAGCCCCCTACCCACGCCTACCAGCTCCCTCACCCCCACCCCCACTCCCCCAAAATATTAATTTTATTTTTAAAAATACTATCAACTTCAAATTTTTATTTTTTTACTCCTACCTCCTCCCTTTTGCCTCCCCCCTAACTACCCCCCCCCCCCCCCCTCACCACTACCCAAAAAAAGTTATTTTTAAAAAATATTTTCAATTTCATAAATTATTTTGTATTCTAATAAAAATAAAAGATATTCCAAAAAAAATATTTTTCAATCATAAATCAAACACAATCATTTTTAAAAAATATTTTCTACTCACCAACCAAAATGAGAAAATAAGTTTAAAATCTACTTGTTTTCCAAGAAAACATTGAAAACATTTTCCTTCATACCAAACACACCCTTGAACTTCGTCTATTTTTAGACCATTATTCTTCCTTTTTGTATCCCAGCTGGAAACAACCTTGCAAAATTCCAAATAAAAGATAAAATAGATAAATCCCCCCCACCCCCCACCCACAGAGAGAGAGAGAGAGAGTTTGTCTTGTGAATTTAAATCATCAAGAAATAAAAAAATGTAAGAGCTTCAAAAGAGGGGTGAAAACAATTCTGCATTTTCGAAGTCAAAGTGATTTTTTATGTAATGAAGAAAAAATAATAATATAATTTTCAAGTTGATAGGAATATAATATCATAATTTTTACGTAACAAAAAGAAAAAAAATGTGGTATATATATATATATATATATATATATATATATATATTGTATGTATGTATGTATATATATACACATATATATATACACACACATATATATATATACACACATATATATATACACACACGCATACATATATATATATATATGTATGTATGTATATATATATATACATATATATACACACATATATATATACACACACATATATATATACACACATATACACACACACATATATATATGTATGTATGTATATATGTGTGTATGTATGTATATATAATATATGAAGTTAGTACTTGGGTGACCTATAAATTTACTCAGATGTGTTTGGCAGGAAGTTAGGGAAATGAGAAAAGGTGAACTTTGATTTAATGACTGGCTTTTTTCCCCCATTTGACGTAACACATTCGCGTTGGGAGCTCGATCAAATTTGAACTAGGTTCGAAAAGTTTAAATTAATTGCTTTGATTAGCTTCGAAAAGCTTAAATTGATCACTTCCAAAGGCAATTCTATATTGAGGAAATTCAAATTCGAAATTTCTTATAAAAAAATGAAGGAGTAATTATAACTCCACCACAATCAATTTAGCTAATGATTGGTTTTCTATTTGCGGCCACAAGGGAAAATACTTCCTTTTACTCAATTCGTTTCTATTTGTTTAATCTATTTTCTTTTCATTTCCAGCAATTTTTCATTTTTTAACTTTTCACATGACATATTTAAAATCACTAAATTAAATGACATTTTGATACATTCAACATATAAAGACATTGCTATTGCAAGAAAGTTCAAAGAAAATATTCATAGTAATTAACCCATCTTTTTCGAGCTTGTAAGGACCTCTTTCTTTAGAGTACTAAAGCATTCTATTAAGCATTATTTTTTGGAAAATCCATTTAACTACAATAGCGACCAATAAATGGAAGATTAGAAGCCCATATTTAGACCATAGGAACCTATAATATATACAGGTTTCTAAGTGTTTTATTTGAAACACAAGATAAAAGTTGTTTGTTTCAAATGCATATGCATAAACCTGTCATTTAACCTGACCTAAGTTGACATTCATACCCTCCAACTTTGTAGGTACGTAAACTTGTATAAAATTGAAGAAATAGACACATTCTATGCAACATAATACATGTAAGATGCAGTCACGTAGAATGCATGTGTCTATCGAGGAAGGGGAAAAACCAAAGTACTTTTATCAATCTAATTTATTTCGTACCTTTTCATTCAATGAGAAAATGGGTTACATGTTCAACGTATACAAGTTTACATACCTATCTGCACACACACAGTTGGAAGACGAATAACAATTGGGGGCTTGGGGCCAAGTTAGAAGACACATATATATACTCAGTTGTGTAAGCTTAGCACAACTTGACACCCAAATCTAGTGGAAACTCTGTTGGTACTGAATGCAACTCTTTTACGTTCTTCAGCTCACCACAAGACAACAATATCTGACTTCTCCACATTGAAGAATCACAGAAACCTCCTTTTGAGAAATGAAAATCCAAAGTTTTCCACCTAAATATATCACACAACCCACTTGAACAAACTGGATATAAGCAATGTAAAACACACGTTAAGCAAGATTCAATTTTCTTTAATAAAGTTCACCAACTTCACTAACATGTGAGACACTAACAGCAAATTTCTGAATGATAATCAAATTAATATGTATCTCCTCTTTCTTATATTGCATGTTTAGTGTGCTAGCTCTGCACAGCCATACACTAGAAGGAATTGCAAAAACAGTTCTTGCTAACTTAAGCAAGGTAAACACACCTTCATGGATCTGCCGTAAAGTGACAGAGATGGAACACTTACTAAATGAGAAGGACTAAAACCTGAAACGAAGGCAGCAAGTTTATAAATGAAAATCAGCATATGAGGTGCACAATTATTTTGCTACATAACATATAGATTACACACCAGGCAACCAATGACGTACAGAAAAGCTTTACTAAAACAACCTACAGGTCAAGTGACAATAGACTATAACGTAATATTACTTGTGGCAAACAACAGCTCATTAAGGGTGCAAAATACATTTGAGATTAGCCTCCAAGGTACATATCCCTCCATGGAGTGTAGAAGGATGTCTTACTAGCATCTAAAATACTATCTGCTTTGAGAATTGAATAGTTAAATTTTAGCTGGAAACCATATAAATTCAATAGGGGAAATAGCATTACTCCATAAGCAATCCATTCTGCACAACATCCTACTATAGAAGTAGAAGAAAAAATGGGAAATATCTAGAGGCTAGAAGTAACTAAAACAGACAAAACAATCAATTATTGAGATTGTCTCCTTCTTTACTCTTTTCATGCTTAGCTAGCTCGTCTCAATCTTCAAAGCTATGAGTTTGGCTCTGGATTACATCATTTCATCAATTATCAAACATATGAGCATGGAAATTTTGAATTCTGGAAAATATGTGAAACCTGTAGCTTCACTTAAAATGTATAATACAATGCGGCAGAAAAGGGACAACTCTCTCTCTCTCTCTCTCTCTCCGCCTCCCTCCCTCCCTTTCTCTCTCTCTCTCTCATATAATGCACATTTTTTTAACACATTAAGATTTGACCTCATATGAACCTATTAATAGGCAGAATGTTTACAAACAATAAAATCAATACACAATTCAACTAGCAACAAAAAAGATCAAAAGTTTAAGCCGTGGATCCTGCATGCGTAACACTTTCTTCGCAACCCACTCTACCACTAGGATAAAAAGCATGCAATTTCACCACGCTGTCTTACTGAGAACTTCATTTATTACTTTATATAAATCACTAAGAACAGTCTCATCAGTCGGACACCATGCATCAATCATTAAAAGCATTAAAGCACATGATATAAGAAGAGTAATTGAATTTTTGCTGAACTATACTGCACAATATGGTTAACATCGTTCCAATTGAGTAATCATATTCATACATAGGGTTGATGCAATTTAGGTTAAAATGTCTTCCCAAGTATGCTTCTATTTTATCAAAGTTCACCAGATTCACTAACATACGAGGCGCTAACAGCAAATTCCTGAATAATAATCAAATCAACAGTAATGAGAATAAATATGACCTCCTCTTTCTATATTGCATGTTTTGGTGCTCTAGCCAAACTCCAGGAATGGGCAAAACAGTCCTTATTAACTGCTAGAAGTGCAACACTTGCTAAAGCAGAAGGATTAAAACCTTAGCGAGGGAAACAAGTTGATCAATGAAAATCAGCATATGAGGTGCACAATTGTTTTACTACATTACATATAACTGCACACCAGACAACCACTGACATGCACAAAAAACCAAAAGGTAGTAGTTAGGTTAGAGAATTCAAAACCTTGACCCTCAATAATAAGATTTAAAGCCTTTACCAGCATGTCAGTTGAACTCTTGATGACAAGTGTTGCAACTCGTTATGTAGTGGGTTTAGAACCATGAGGTCTCAGGTCCAAATCCTAATATAGCTTTTTAAAAAACACTAGGCTGGTACCTGTTGATACTAGGAGGTGTCAAGTACCCTGTGGAATTAGTCGAGGTCTGCGAAAGCTGGCTTGGACACGTCATTAGAAAAAAGTTCTAGTCTGATCAAGGATACTACTACGTATATGTGAATATTTTACTTAACAAAGATGCATCAGATCTTCATATTGTTACACATCTTGTAAATGTGACATGCTTACTTGAAGTTAACAACTTAGGTATATCAGGAGCTGTGATACATTATTCAGCAACACATTTATAAATTTTACTAAAACATGAAATTAAGTAATTGTTTATCCGGAAAAGCTTGAAAAGGAAAATTGAACAAATTGGACATCACAGCTTGACTATGTTTTATGTTTACTTGGTAAGTTGAAAAGAAAAAAATTGTCACTTGGAAAGTATTATATTGGCTTAGAAATGTCATGTTTACTTGGAAGTCTTGCATGTTTGGGATTTATAATTTAATGGAACCTTTTATTTTAAAGAAAGATACCTCTTATTCCACCTTTATCCTTACATGTTGGAACTGAAGGTATGATATGAAGTGTACTTGTGCTGTCTATTTTCTCATGTACCATATTAATGTTTTGTCTTCACTGCATTGACATGCAGAAGCCAAACTGAAGGCACAGTCCATTAGATATCCATTCGATGATCTCTTGAGTCCGATAAACAGTTGACTGAATATCCTCCTCCATGCATAGAATTCGACGTCTCAATGGAATGTGTAGGGGATCATCTGATGGTCTGGGACTTCTGTACCTCATTTGGAAGGTTATTGCACCTGTCATCATTCTCCCTTGAAAATTTTGAAAGGGCTGTCTGTCAAAAGGGCAGCAATATTGTCCTCATATCTGAATGTCATTCAGCTTTCTTTTGAATGATAACAGTGAGTATTTCATAGCTGTACAGAGGGGAAAAGACCAAAGCTGAAGGTAATATTTGAATCATGTAATCTTGTTCCCTTTAAAGGTCAAGAATTCTCAACTTCTGAAGGATTTGTTTTTTTTCCAGACATATGATTGATTAACTTTCCCTTAAAAACAACTCTTGAAGGATGTATGTTTTTTTCCCAGACATATGATTGACTAACCTCCTTATGTTACACAAATCTGATCAAGTACCATATTTTGTACTCTGATGATATTAATATCTTTTGAAGGCAAAGTTGGGACTTTTCCTGATGTGACACAAGCTCCAACAATCCTCAGGAACTATCGGAGGGGGAGAGTCTCAAGGGCTAAATCCAGTCTAATGGGCAGGAAGCAAGAAAAGGGAGGATGTGGCAACTCCTCAGATACTGGGAGTGATAACCATCTCAGAGAGAGTGGACATATGCCAAGTAGCTATGGCAAAAAGACATCTCAATCAAAACATTCATTAGAAAACAGGTTCACCTTTAGTTTTTGTACTTGAAATTTTTCTGGAATTTGGATGGTAACTCGATTTTTTTATTTTCCATTTTTTCTGTCTCTTGTTGCTTCCTGTCTGACGTCTGATAGTGAGAGTGAACTAGCAGTCTCCTCATTGAGAAATGATAAGACGAGAAAGGTTGACGTCGAGAATTCTACAGGAAAGATGAATGCTTCCTCTAACATCACTCCTGATAAAAGATGAAGGGAAGGAAACATTAGAAAACAGGAGTATGGACCAAAGAGCTGCTCACAAAATGCGGAATAAATTAATGAGATAAAGGAGCATCTTGTAAACAGGAGTAAGGAGCAAAGAGTGAGTATCCTATCCTCTCTCTATCAAGCTCTCTGGTTCTCTTTCTTCAACACAAGCATGGTGTCTCATGTTAAACAGACAAGTGGACATACTTACCTAGATGTCTGTTGAAATGGATTCATGGTCTGCAATTTGCACAGTACAAATTGTGACTCAACATGAATGTGTTTTACTTGTATTTGTTAAAGATGTGTTCCTTATGTGTCTGTGTATTGCAGAAAGAATATCTTGAACGGGAATTTATATATCCTCTAGGCAACTGTTATTATTGTCATGTGTGTTTCATGCTTACATGTAAGTCATTTGCTGTTAATTATGCTTACATGTAAGTCATTTGCTGTTAATTATGCTTACATGTAAGTCATTTGCTGTTAATTATGTTTAAACTGTAGGTATGATCTATTTTAGAAACAGTAAGAGGCACAATAAAACCCATCTTGCCTTGGTATTTAATACTTGATCACAGAGGTGCATTGTCAAGTGCACCTAATTATCACACAGAAGTTTCATTCGACTATTCTCTCCAAACTTCACATCACTTATGCAGATGGTCTTGCAACTGTATTTTGATTCTTGCTTTGTGAAGACACTAAACTTCCTCTTAACTAGAACCTTGTACCCAAAAGTAGGGTGACCCTGTCCAATCTGCATATGTGTATTCAATAATCTGCTGATGTCCTTGATGTTCGTAAAGTAACATTTTTCACTGGAGTAGATTTTCTATATTGAAGAATATGATAAACTGTATTCCATTGACTCATAAGGAGAACTCAATTACTGACTCACAACACTTGCTGGGAAACCAATGTTAGGTCGAGTCACAATGATTTAACTTTCTACATCTTCCACAATCAGAGTTAGGCACCCTTTTCAGATCTATCGGAATATCAATAGGCCTATAATTCTTAATTCATGTCTCCTCGGGAATATAAGAACATAATTTCTTCATGAAATAAACTTTATCTGGATTCATCAAAACCTTAATGCCTAAGAAGTATATCAATACATCTAGGTTCTTGGTCTGAAATGGTTATTCTTCAAGTTGGTACTTTTTCTTTTCATCATTATATATGATGAGCATATCATCAACATAGATCACCAAATACATGCACAAATCTTGAGGCAATAGAACACACAAAGAACAGTAGTCATTACCTTACTCCTTTTTGTTTACTCAAATCACCTTTGTTCTCACTTCCACCTCATGTCTTTGGGAGCACATGTTTTGTCCATAATTTCGCTCCATGAAAAAACAAGTAAGCTCTAGTGCTATTAAGTGTATATACTTACATTATTCCCAAGATTCAATTGTAAAAGCTAGCGCGTCCATGGTGAGTGAATCATGGGTGTAAAAGGGATGTCGGTACATAATTCAACAACTAACACAAAACATCAGACAATCAAGTAATCCATCCTAACAAACTCAGGAAGATCATATATTGCCTAACCTTTATAATAGAAATATCATATATTGATCCACGTTATCTAATCTACTACAGGTACACCAAAAATATAAAAATTGCAAACATGTATTCTTAATTCTAGGAATATGTCTCTTTTTTCCTTCAAAGTAAACCAGATTGTCTGAAAACGAATATGGGAATAGGCTTCCAAAGCTAATTCAAGACAGGTTATTAACAATGTCTGTAACACTGGTTTCTACCAGAGAAAGGACCGATAGTAGTCTCTTAACATGATTTTGGTTGTTAGTTATAGTAGCTATTAGTGGTCAGCATTTTTCCAAATATATATGTATTTTGCACTTGGTGCTAGATTTATGCGTAGAAATAATTCAAAGGCCTCCACAGTCATTTTTTTCCCTATTACCTTTTAGAGTAAAAAAAATTATTGATGTTATCAACAGCATTCTGGAGGAGGGTTTTTCAGTTTCTATGCTTCTCATTCAAGATATAGTTGCACTTCTCTACCACTTCTTAAGGTTATCTGAAGCATTCAGTGAGGGTGTACATAAGGAGGAAAAAAAATGTCTTTTAACATGTTTAATCTTACAGATATGTATACTAATCACCATGAAGCATAATCAACTTGGAGATTAAACCACATTACACTGGCAAGATTTTTGAGAACAACGCCTTGGGAAACCCCATCTCAAAATTAGCTTTATTTCTATTGACATATTTACATTTTGCTTCATTTAACACCTAAAGTAATGTTTGCTAGCATTAGATCACCAGAAACTGAAGTTTACATGAATGTCAATTGAGTGATGAGCTTGTTGTTGATATTAAACTTACATGATCTCAACAACAGCGCATCCAGCAATGATTACCTGATCAATATTTTTGTATGCCTGTGGAGCCTCTTCAAATTTGCAGGTCCTTGAACAGCAGCAGTTAGATTGAATATGCCGCTTTCGGCAAGTTTAATCAGTTTAGGAGATCTTATCTTGCTCTGGCTCCACAAGAGCCAATCACTTTTATCTAGCATCAAAACATCAGCAGTGAGAAAGAGCTGCTTAAACTCTAATAAGAAAACACACTAGTTCTGAGAAAAATATTTAATAGTATGCCCTTTAACATAATATGGATTTTCATGTTCCATTGGAAGAACAAATACCCAAAAAATGAAGACATTTAGCGAGTTAAAAACCTTACTAGTATATATCAGTATGGCTTTTACTAACAGACCACAGACTAGGCCTAGGTCAGCCATATTTAGCCCTTAAATCTTTAAATGTCTAGTAGCTGAATTTTAGGAGAGATTTTAATGATTGGGAATTGAAAGTAGAGCAATTATTGGATCAATGGTAGAAGAATATAAAGAGGACTGCATATTTTGGACGGCAAGCAATATTCTGTCAGAAGCTGCTACGATATTCTCCCACAAACAGGCTGATTAATTATGAAGAAAATTGGTCATGGAAATGTTATTGAGTACCAAAGCACCTATCATGGTGGTGTGTTTTGGGTGGATTGTCATCATAGAATTGTGTTTAACCCAAGTAATCTACAAAGGAGAGGCTTCACTTTAAGTAACAGGTGCTATTTATGTAAAATGGATTGGAATCTGTTAATCATCTGTTTATTCACTGTATAATTGCTAAGCAATGTTGGGAGCTGTTCCTGAACCAGTGTGGGGTTACTTAGGTTATGCCTTCAGATATAAGAAGCCTACTAGTCAGCTGGCAAGGGTAAAAGATAGCAAGGAATCAGAAGCAATATGCATATTCTGGACCATCTGGAGAGACAGGAAAAATGCTTTTTTCGAAAACAAAAAAGGATCACATCTTACTGCATGTTTATTTCTGTAGGCATTGTCTGCTTCTGGTATATTTTCATGTACCAGCTTGGTACTTCTTTAATAATACTTCACATCATAAAAAAGAAGCATGTGCATATTTCATTGAATGCAAAACAATTTATGACATATCAAAAGAGGGAATGGGTCATAAGTGCTAGCAGATCGGAATTGAGAGGGACAAACAATAAAAGACCTGCAAACAGAAGCACACACCTGTCGTCACACTAGGTGGTTTATATCCACCTCCCCCTTAGCCCCAGATAGTGTAAGTCCAATCATCACAGCTTTGTCTCCATTGCGAATACTTTGCACAGATTGAAGAATGTTTGTCATCGACCCAAAGCTTTAATAGTTACATCAACACTGTAGCCTCCTGTGATATCCTGCGCAAATTGAATAGCTGATAACAATAGTTTAAGCAGTTGGTAGGTTCTCAGATGCAAAGCCGGACATTTATTTCAGAAGAAGAATTCATTTTAACAGCCTAAAAGACAAATAGCTATGGGAAAATCTCCTAATAAATGCACGTGTAAGTCATTTCAGAGTGCTAGAAGGAAAAATCAGATGCTAATAAACAAAATCTAGAGAGCTAGTATTATAAGCACAACCTTTCCTTTATTATCGGACCGTGATAGGCGCAACATGTTTTTGTTCAGCTGGTTGATAAAAATAAAAAAAAATAAAAAGCATATACCATATAAAAGTAATATCACTAGTTTATTAGGACGGTCTCACCATTAATCACCTGATAGTCAACATTCTCTATTATACTGGTTCTACCCATAAGTTTGTCATATTAATCAAAACATTAAAACAGTGCTGTCAAAGGTGCACTCAAGATATTCCATTTACATTACTAGTCTAAATTCTTAAGACATAGTACCTTTCTTCCACCATGAACAATCTCCTTTTGATAAGTAAGGTTGAACTTCGAAACCAAACACGTCAAGAATTCCATCATTAACAAAATGAGTTTTAGGATCCTATCCAACTGCTTCCAGGTTGCTTTAACACTCCACATTTATTCATCAGTTTCCTCACATTAGCAGAGCCCTCCCAGTTCTCTGCACTGGCATAAATATTGGATAAAAGCACATAAACAGAGGGGTTATTCTTCTCAGTCTCAAGCAGAAATCCCGCAGCAATTCTGCCTAGTTTAACATTGCCATAAGCAGCACAGGAACTGAATAATGTCCACCAAACAGTGGAATCTACATCAACATGCCTATCTTTTACCAGTTTTTCTGCCTCATCAAGATATCCAGCCCGGCCTAGAAGATCAACAATGCAAGAGAAGTGGTCTGCTGTAGGTTCTATACCGTAGCTATGAACCATGGAGGTAAAAACTTCAATGCCTTTATTGATTAAGCCTGAATGGCTGCAAGCTGATAGAACTGCATTAAAGGTTGTGTTATCTGGTATGACCCCACCTAATTCTTGCATCATCTCAAAGCAATGTACAGCTTCTTTGCCTTTCCCATGCTGTGCATATGCAGTAATAATTGAATTCCAAGAAACTATGTCTTTTTGTGTCATTATTTGGAAAACCTTAAGAGACCAATGCAACAGTCCACATTTTGCATACAATGTGATGAGGGCATTTCCTAAAGATATTTCTGAAATGAATCCAGATTTGAGAATGAAAGTATGAATCTCCTTCCCTTGTTGAAGAGCTGAAATGCTGGCACAAACACTCAAAATGATGCTAAGAGTAAAAGGGTTAGGCATCAAACATTCACTAACAATCTCAGAGAAGAGGTGCAAGCACCCCATGGGTAGTCCGTTGAGATGACAACCAGAAATCAATGTATTCCAAGAGATCATGTTTCTAGGAAACATGTCATGAAAAACTTGATAAGCCTGCTTCATTTCACCATGCTTGCAGAAGGCAGAGAGCAGAGCATTAGATACTTCAGTCTTAAAGATAAGGGCCTTCTTCAAAACAACACCCAAAATTATTTCAACAATTACTAGAGACTCTGAGCTTGCAAGTATGCTTCCTATGGTAAACTCGTCTGGCTCTAACCCTTCCTTCTGCATTTGAATGTATGCAGAAATTGCTGCACTGTCCAGACAATTTTGGGCATAGCTCGTAATCATGGCATTCCACGACACGTTATCCTTCACCCTTAGTCTTTCAAAAACTAAAAGGGCTTCATTCAAGTTCCCACAACTAGCATACATGGTTATTGTTGCATTAGCGATAGATGTATAGTTTTCCAAACCTATTCTAGCAACTTGAGCATGCAATTGAGAAGCAATTCTAGTACACGTACATGAACTCATTATGGTCACAAATGTGAGCTTGGTAGGTCTCAAAGAAAACTTACACATATCCTTGAACATTATTAATGCCTCCTCAGCTCTTTCCATACTCACTAAACCAGCGATCATTGCATTATAAGTTACAGTATCAAGCACTTCATCCTCAGCTTCTTCAAATACTCCAAAAGCATCAAAATCATTCTTACAGTTAAAATACATGGTAACCAAAGCATTAATCACCGAAGCTCTTACCAAAAACCCCGTCTTGATGACCATCGAATGCACTTGTCTTCCAAAATCCAATAACTCCATATCACACAAACTTAAAATACTAGCAAAAGCATAATTATCATATCTAACACCCAAAAAATGCATTCTTTGAAAAAAATCCAAAGCAATCCCGTGATACCCACTTTCAGCACACCCAGTAATCATTGCATTCCACACAGCCAAATTCCTGTGCGGCATTTCATCAAACACCTTACAAGCATACCCAACTTCACCCAACTTGGTAGAAGCAGACAATAGCGTAGTCCAAGAATAAACATCTGGGGATTCAATTTCTTTAAAGACCCTTTTAACTGAACCCAAATCTTTAGATTTGGCATAGAATGAAAGGAGAGAATTCGATACATATGGGTATTGTTTAAGGTGTGTTTTAATGGCGAAACCGTGGAGCTGATTGCCGAAGGTAGTGTTAAGGATGTTGGCAGAGGCGGTGAGAGTGGTTGAAAGGGTGTAATGATCAGGTCTGAGATGAAGGGAAGAGTGAATTTGGTTGAAGAGAGAGAGAGCATCGGAGAATTGGTGGGAATGAGTGAAGTTTGAAAGAAGGGAATTGAGTTGTTTTATGGAGCTTTCACTTAACTTCATTCGGTTTGTGATTGGAATATTAATTGGTTAGTAAATATATATATATGTAGGCTGTTTTTACCAAATATGAATTCATAAGTCAATTTTTATATTTGAAAATTTTAAATTATAATTTAAAAAATCATAATTTTTACAAAAAATTAAATTTGAATTTCATACCACGATTTTATATAATTTATTCAAGAGCAGACGTAAACCAAAAGATCTTGTGTGCTTAATGCTTTGCCAAGTCAAGAGAGCCCATTGAAGCTTTACAATGACTGTTTGAATCGTTTTTTACTCTTTTTTCATATCTTTTTGACATCTGGTTTTTTTTTCTCATCTTTTCTTTATTTTTTTCCCCACTTCCCTATTATATTTTACTTACTAAGACAGACTAAAAATGTTAACAAGGCTTCTAAAAATCAGTTTATTTTAAAAGTATTTTTGTTGCAGTAATTTATGTTTAGCCAATAAATAAATGATATTTTTTAGTAGCAATTGTGTTTGATCAAACTTTTGTTATTCAACCTGTATTATAAGGTTAGCCTAAAAAAAATAGAAACAGAATAAGATGAAACAGAAAGTAAATAGAATACAAGAAGTAATCCAAGTCCACAGAAATTACTGTGCCCTGAAAAAATTAATCCCCTCACTGTACCCGAGGTTATGTATTAATTTCTCTCAAGATAAAACGGATTAATCGTGTTAAAGAAATAGCGGTACCTCAAATTTCTTTAACTTCAGCAAACTTCAGAACAGCAACAAGTTACACAGACTCAGTCGATCGACACTTTGATTTGTTTGAGAGAAAAAATTTATGCAGAGCAGGAAAAAATTCAGTGTTTGAAAAAATGAAAATTGACTTCCTTTTATAGCCATTTTCAGAAAGACACGTATCTGTTTAGAGAAATCTGTTCAAACCCGTTTTATCCAGAAAGTTGTGTCTTTTGGAAAAAATAACAACTTTTTAGGAAAATGTCTCTGTTAGAAAAATAACGACTTTTCGAAAAGAGTAACAACTTTTTGAAATGTTACCGTTACCCGCAAATTTATAAGAGATAATATTAACAGGTTTTATTTGATTTAACAAAAACTGATTTAATCAATCACATCATTTGCCAAATCTGAAGCCGAAGTCGAAGTCGAGCGAGCAACGACGACGGCGGCGCGAGGGAGTATCTTTTTTTTAGCTCTTTAAGAAGTAATGGAAGTGTTTCCTTATATAATGACAACAATTTCCATTTCTTTTGCCGATATGGAGAAATGACTTTTCATTTGCACTTTGCAAATGACTTTCCATTTTTCCTCCAAAATAGTTCCCTCACTTTTGATATGATCTCTTTTCTTTTCCCATTTACACTTGCTAAACCCAACAATCCCCCACATGAATGGGGAAGGCTATCGTTAAAACATACGCATGAAAAAACTTGTGTGTCTTGTAGGTAAAGGTTAATCACATCTGGATAAGTAGGTTTCCCTTTAAACTTTCGGTAGTGAACATATATCGGATATACTCGGTCAATCGATAGATTTGATATCTTTGAACCGTCGAGCTTTGGTGTATACCTAGACAACATATGTCACAAAATCAACCCTTGAACTATTCTTAGTTCTCATTGTTTTGTTCGTTTGAGCCATGAACACATCTTGGATAGTAAGTGCTTAAAGAACTGGCCTTACCGGATTCTCCTTGAAGCGACTTACACATCACACTTACATAGGTGATTTCTAAATGTATTATCGCATAGATACACCTTTGATATTCCCTGTATCAAACTTATAAACCATTAAAAAGTCCTTATGTCTTTATCCTGGTTACTAAACATTGTCTCATCATGAGAATGGACCATAAAATGATAATTTTTTGACAATGTTGAACCGTCATCAATGACTTTGTTTTATCTCCTTGAACCTAGATCTTGGGATCTCCAGTCTTCTAGGTAGAGTTACCGCCACGATGACTTGTTCTTGGCCATAGTCCCGCTCCCGTCGATGATTTCTCAACTCCCTCTCTAGTTAGGCCTTTTGTAAGTGGATCCGACACATTATCTTTTGACTTCACATAGTCAATTGTGATAATTCCACTAGAGAGTAGTTGTCTCACAGAGTTATGTCTTCGTCTTATGTGACGAGACTTGCCGTTACACATAATACTTCCAGCCCTTTTGATTGCAGCTTGACTATCACAGTGTATGCATATAGGAGCCATTGGTTTGGGCCAAAATGGAATATCTTCTAAGAAATTTCGGAGCCACTCAGCTTCTTCACCTGCCTTGTCTAAAGCAATGAATTCAGACTCCATTGTAGAGCGAGCTATACATGTTTGTTTGGATGATTTCCAATATATTGCTCCTCCACCAATAGTAAAAACGTATCCACTTGTGGATTTTGTTTCAGTTGACCCAGTAATCCAATTTGCATCACTATATCCTTCAAGAACGGCTGGATATTTGTTGTAATGTAAAGCATAGTTTTGAGTGTCATCTAAGTATCTCAAAACTCTCTTCATTGCCAACCAATGACTTTGATTAGGATTACTTGTGTATCGACTCAGTTTACTGATAGCGCAAGCTATATCTGGTCGTGTACAATTCATGACATACATTAAGCTTCCCAATACGCTAGCATAGTCCAATTGAGACTGACTTTCACCTTTATTTTTTGCGAGATGAAGGTTTACATCAATTGGAGTCTTTGCCCTTTTAAAATTCAAAAATTTGAATTTTTCAAGTATCTTTTGAATATAATGAGTTTGAGACAATGCTAGACCGTTAGGAGTTTTAAGAATTTGAATTTCTAATATATCAACAACTCCTAAATCTTTCATATCAAACTTACTAGAGAGCATACCCTTTGTAGCTTTTATATTAGCAATGTCTTTGCTCATTATAAGCATGTCATCTACATATAACCATACAGTGACTTCCTGATTTGGAGTATCTTTAATGTAAACACATTTATCACATTCATTGATCTTAAATCCATTTGACAACATGGTTTGATCAAACTTCGCATGCCATTGCTTTGGTGCTTGTTTTAGTCCATAAAGTGACTTAACAAGTTTGCGCACTTTCTTTTCTTTACCAGGAACTACAAAACCCTTAGGTTGTTCTACGTAAATTTCTTCTTCCAGCTCTCCATTTAAGAAGGCTATTTTCACATCCATTTGATGAATTTCAAGACCGTATACTGCAGCTAGTGCAATTAACATTCGAATTAATGTAATCCTAGTCACTGCGAGTATGTGTCAAAATAATCAAGACCTTCTTTTTGTCTAAAACCTTTGACAACAAGTCTTGCTTTATATTTGTCAATAGTTCCATCATCTTTTATCTTCCTTCTAAAGATCCATTTTGAACCCAGGGGTTTGTTCCCTGGAGGAAGATCAACCAACTCCCAAGTATGATTGCTTAATATTGATTCAATTTCACTATTAACAGCCTCCTTCCAAGAGGTTGAGTCGCTAGACAACATTGCTTCCTTGAACGTTTGAGGCTCACTTTCAAGAAGAAATGTTACAAAATCAGATCCAAATGAAGTAGATGTCCTTTGACGATTACTGCGTCTTGGACTTTCTTCATTAGGTTTATTCTCTTTTGGTTCTTTTCTTGGTTGTTTAGACCCCACACTAGATGACTCAAATCTATTTTTATACGGATATATATGTTCAAAAAATCCAGCACTATCTGATTCCATTACTGTATTATCATGAATATCCGGATGCTCGGACTTATGAACAAAAAATCGACATGCCTTACTGCTTGTGGCATATCCAACGAATACACAATCCACAGTCTTAGGCCCTATTTTTACCCTCTTATGTATAGGAACTTGGACTTTGGCTAGACACCCCCACACTTTGAAATATTTCAAGTTGGGTTTTCTACCTTTTCATTTCTCATATGGAATTACATTTGTCTTTGAGTGAGGAACTCCGTTAAGTATTTGATTTGCTGTAAGCATAGCTTCTCCCCCCCCCCCCCCCAAGTTCTGTGGTAAACCTAAACTTATAAGTAATGCATTCATCATTTCTTTTAAAGTTTGATTTTTCCTTTCTGCAATTCCATTAGACTGAGGAGTGTAGGGAGCAGTAGTTTGCTGGATTATTCCATTTTCTAAACATATTTCAGCAAATGGAGATTCATATTCTTCACCTCTATCACTTCTATTCATTTTGATATTTTTATCTAAATGATTTTCAACTTCAGTTTTATATTGCTTAAATGCATCTATTGTTTCAACCTTAACATTTAGCAAATAAACATAACAATATCTAGTGCAATCGTCAATAAAAGTTATGAAATACTTTTTCCCACCACGTGATGGTGTTGACTTCATGTCATAAGTATCAGTGTGAATCAATTCTAAAGGATTTGAATTCCTTTCAACAGATTTATAAGGATGCTTAGCATTCTTAGATTCAACGCAAATTTGACATTTTGATTTATTGCACTCAAATTTTGGCAAAATATTTAAGTTAATCTGTTTTCACGAGGTTTTGTCATTAACGTGTCCCAAACGTTCATGCCATAAACATTTAGACTCAAGCAAGTAAGAAGATGCAAAATCTTTATTCATATTAACTGCAATTACATTGAGTTTGAAAAGGTCATCACTAAGGTAACCTTTTCCTACATACATATCATTCTTGCTTACTACTACTTTATCAGAAACAAATACACATATGAATCCATTCTTGGTCAGAATTGGAATTGAAACTAAATTCTTTCTCAATTCTGGAACATATGAGACCCTATTCAAAGTCACCACCTTGCCTGATGTCATCTTTAATAGGACTTTGTCAGTTCCTTCCACCTTTGCAACAACGGAGTTCGCCATAAACAACTTCTCATCTTTAGGTGCTGGAGTATATAATGAAAGTAATTCTTTGTTGGCACAAACATGGCATGAATCACCAAAATCTATTCACCATTCTCTTGGATTTCCAACCAAGTTACATTCTGAAAGCATTGCAAAAAGATCGTCCATTTCTCCTTTGGATTCAGCCAAGTTTTCTTGATCCTTCTTTTTCTTGTCCTTCTTAGGAC